GAAGAACCTTAAAATTATGGACACATAAATTTACAGCATGTGATGGACTGACCGTCTATACACATATACAGCATGTGATGGAGGCATGTATCCTGATGGACAGTCCCGGGTGGGGGAGAACCTTAAAATTATGGACACATAAATTTACAGCATGTGATGGACTGACCGTCTATACACATATACAGCATGTGATGGAGGCATGTGATAGACGGACGGACGAACCTGAGGGTGGGTGGATTGAGATTTCATCAAAACATTAGTTGTTGAGGGGGCGGGGGGCAGAGAGCTTCATCAAATGATGTTTGGGAAAATGATGGTCAGAAAATATAGCATCTGATGGACAGTCCCGGGTGGGGAGAACCTTAAAATTATGGACACTTAAATTTACAGCATGTGATTGACTGACTGTCTATCACATATGGGAAAACAATTGCCATAAATGTACAGCATCTGATATTCAGGCCTGGGGTGGGGAAAATTGGACACATATACAGCATGTAATGGAGTGACATTAGGGGTTGGACACAATGTGATGGTCCTTGGGTGGTCTATGATGTTTTGGAAAATAATGAATATATGTATACAGCATCTGATATCCGGACCTGGGGGTGGCTGAAGTTATGGGCACATAAATATACAGTATGTGGTAGATTGTCATTGGGGGATAGACATAAATATACAGCATTTGAAATTCGGACCTGGGGGTGGGGGAAAATTATAGGCACATAAATATACAGCATGTGATGGACTGGCATTGGTAATGGGGAGGTCTCAATTGACAAGTCTCTGTACAGCATGTGATGAACAGCCCCGGGTGAGGAGAACCTTAAGTGACAGGCTACAGTATGGGATGATGCATTTTTGCGCATTTTAGAAGTATTCATTTTGAGTGGTCCCAGGAAATAATTTGTATTGGCTCAAAAGAAAGCTTTAAACATTTTACACTGTGTAAAAATGGGTCCCACGAAACTGTCCCAATTTCGGGGGGTGGAATTATACCCAGAGATTCCCTAGGCCTAGTGTGTGAACAGACGAAAATGACGATCGTTTTGCGAGGTTGTTTTCACCTTCGATTACTAGCCTATTAAAGCAATATTCGGGCGAAGAAATCAGTCTTGCATGATGTAACAAGTTATTTTTAGCAGGGAATCTGTGGAAACGCGTGAGTCTTCACGCTGTGAATTAAAGATCCGAACAGCCCACTGGGCAGGTCTTTTCAGGGACGGACCGCGGTGTTGTCTATCTTTAGCCGCAGATAGCGAGCTATTTATTTTTAGCAACAGTAAACAACAAAATAATTTACAATGATGGGCTTTGTATTCAAATTTATGGCGACCAATGTCTGTTGTAAGCAATTTTAAGAGTTTCAAGTCGGCAGAATTCGGAGACAATTCCTTTATTTTTTGAGCATTTGTTAAATTTGTGACCAACCTAGGCCGACTTGACCAATCCTCAGACCCTGGGACTTTACACCCGGGGAAATTCTTGTATGCGAAGTTGGGCGTAAAGTCTGGGTGGGGTTGTACCCTGGGAACTATGGTAATATTTTATAGTAGTAGTGACTGTGAGAGTTTTCTCTATTGTTGAAAAAACAAGACCAAGCTTCGAGCAAGCATGACAACAAAAACATTTAAAAAATTAGAAACCATTACTGGACCACAAATCCCTCTAAACTATGTTTACGTACAAAGGAACGTACACACCCGCAGGGTTCTGGTTTAGGCTCATTGGTTTACTTTTTATTTCTTATGGAAAGTAAAGTGATTAAAAACAAGGCTCGATATTTAGGGAATATACTTGACCTTAGCGTACATTAGACCAACCAATCAGAAAGTATAGCCACTAATTTGGAATTCCAAATTTTGTTTATTTGATATTTTTGTTTATGTTCTGATAGGGTTGCAGTGGACGGGCCATTTGGAACAGCTAGTATAGACATCTTCAAGTATCAGGTTGGCATATGTGTTGCAGCCGGTATCGGTGTCACTCCATTTGCATCAATCCTAAAATCAATATGGTGAGTCAGGATTTCATTTCTTTTTAATAGGTAATGCCTAGGTCCACTAAGTCCTTATAACCAATGTTCTACACCATAACCCAGGTGGTTCTGAACTGGCAACCTGTGGGTCATTTTCAACAAGCTGTAAAATAATTACTGTATAGAGTTAGACCTATTATTATTATGATCATTATTGTTATTATTATTATTATGATCATTATTGTTATTATTATTATTATTATTATTATTATTATTATTATTATTATTATTATTATTATTATTATTATTATGTTACTAAAACCTACCTTAAGGGGAACTTATAAAATGGATAAATTAGAGAACAAGTAAAAAAATGACGTTAAGGGGAAAATAATATGACATTAAGGGGAAAATAACAGAAGATATTCCCCTTAAATCCGACTCATCGCATGTTTATTATTATTATTATTATTATTATTATTATTATTATTGTTATTATTATTATTATTATTCTCAAGTCACTACGTAGCTAGTATGTATGATCTTGTGGTAGAAGGTTTCGCAGATAAGATACCTGACAAACAAACAAACGCTCCAGACAAGGGGCTGAAAAATATACCAGTACACTGGGGTAACCCCCTACTGTTCTCAAAGGATGTACTAGGTAGGTAGTGCACGCAAGCCAGCATTGTGTACACTGGACCTACAGTTTAGAGTCCCTACCCGAGAAGACTTGTTCCACCACCGGAACTATAGGCGAGCGTGCCATTAAACTACCACTATTATTATAGCTGATGTCACGGTTCCCCGTCTTAACCGCTTGGCCATTTAAGGCAAACATAGCTTGAACCTTTTTCTAAGCCTATCATCATAAGCCTGACTGAATGAAACAGCATGGACTCAAACTCCCAGTTGACAGTTGCTCTGGCAAAAAATGCAGGAATAATCATTTTTCATGTATCCTATGCAGGTATCAAATAAGAGAAGGTGATGAAGAGTTGAAACTACGTAAGGTTTATTTCTTCTGGGTTTGCCCCGACACAAATGCATTTGAATGGTTCTCTGAACTCCTAAAAAAATTGGAGATAGAGATGGCTGAACAAGGACGGTCAGACTTCCTCAACTACAACATTTATTTATCAAGGGGCTGGAGTACAACACAGGTAATAATAGTAGTTATAATAATAACACAGCACTATAATGCTAGTCAGCAAGTAGCCAAATGTTGATGGCACAGGCCTCGAATTTTACCGCGGCCATTGCCGACGGTGCCCTTCCAGTTGGCTTTGGTGCCCCTGAAAATGAAGCACGACAACGGCCACTACTTGCCTGCCCTTTTGAAGCCTTGGCCTCGGTGCCCTCACGATGCTTAATATAGATCGTTTGACACGTAAAATAACGTTTAAATCTTGAAAGGTTGCTAAGCTAGCCTAGGCATAGGCCAGGTTCCAGTGACAGAACAGAACATGAGAGAAATTCCATGTGTGTTGATACGAACTGTTTTTGCAGTTACCGTTGTGTGCGCATGCGTCTTACTCTAGCGGTTATTGCAATATAAACATTGGCTCATTCGACTGGTTCATTAAATAGTCTTCGTTGACAACGAAAATTAACGGAAACCAGAGTGCGTTAATCAGCGTTAAGTTATCCCTGTGACCAAAGAGAAACATGGCCGATTGGTGATTTTTTTATTAACAACATTTGCATTAATATAACTTAGATTAAATTTCATAAAATAAACATTATAATATTTACCCACATGGAGTCAAAAAATTATTGTAGGCAAACAGAATAAAAAAAAAAATGGATGAAAATATTTTTTTTAACGAAAAACCCATACATACTACCACAAGTTGAAGCAATCTTGATTACGCAACATGTATCGCGGTAACTATACAGCCATTTTGTTTTGACGAGATTATAAGTTTTCTATTCGACTGGTCGTCTTTGTTGAGTAGGATGTTGAAGAACGACCAGTCGAATACGGCCTTTGTATAGTTGTAAACATGTGCTTGCTGCACAGCTAACTTTGAGCAATCTTACTTCACAGGCCCGTAGCCAGGGGGGTTTTATGGTTCGGGCGAACCCCGCTTTTCTAGCGAACCCCCCTGTATTCTAGCGAACCCCCTCGAATTTTTAAATGAGTCCCACTCGGAAATCAAAATTTAGCACCTAATTCATTATTAATTGGTCACCCGTTTTTAAATTGTAGCCTGAGATACAAGCCTACATTCATAGAATATCTCAGCTTCAGAAGTTCGGAGATTTAAATTGAACTCCGGCAAACCATGACTTTACGATAGCTCCCATAAGGATAGCAAACATCGATAAAAACTTCCACTGGCCTTTGGCTGAATGTTTGTAAGAAATGTACCAACCAGTAACAAAACCAGTCTCCATCTGCCTAGAGTAAAATTAATGGCGCCACCAAACGAAGATAAAGTTTTGCGACTTAATCCACCAAATGCAGCTAAAGTTTTGCAACTTATTGATTGTGGATTGTGTGGTTAGTAAATTCCATAGCCATACTCTCCATAGCGCACACGAAACTATTTGCTGATGGAGCATTTTTGGGAAATTGGCGAAACTATTTGCTGATGAAGCATTTTTGGGAAATTGGCTCTCCTTTTTTCCATCCCAAACTAAATACTATTAACAAATCAACATGGTCCATCTCAGTCATCATAGAGAGTCACAAAATGAGGATATTTGTTTTCAACAGCAGACACACACAACAGAACGGAGTGCGTTAAAATCTAAAAAATACGTACTGGCATATTGTAATACACATTCCCTTGTCGTACAGTATGACATGCTTCATTAACATACTGTAACATACACTGAGGATCGCCAACGAATTGGGTGGGTATTCAAACTTTTACGATATGGTGAACTATTTTTTCGATTAAAATGTTATAGTGATTATATAAGAATAAGATGAGTCACTGTCAATAAAACAATTCGCGAAAGAGGAGTATTCAAAATATCGGTACTATTAATATGGGACTAATCAGATGACTGACGCCATTCGCTATCGAAAATTTATTTTATATGCATTATTTATCTACAATTCTTATCTACAGTATATACACTAAAGAATATTTACACTCACAATTAAAGAAAAAGTTACCAACAACGACATCTAAATAGCTGTGGGAAAAACAAATTATCAGCCTGCTCTCTGTTTGAATAGTGATCATAATTGAACAATAATGATGCAGCAACACGCTTGGTCAACTTGTAAAAATTCAGAGCCTTCTGTTGTTCTGTTGTTGTTGTTGTTTGGAGTGTTATACAGTACGATTTCAAAACATTGTCATCGTAATGAAACAGCTATAATATTGAAAACAAACAACTTGAAACAAAATCGGTGTACGAATTCAAATAAATATTTACAATAGATTTTAACGGTCAACTTGTTATCAAATTTTACGACCAATTTTTACATATATTTGTGAGTGCCAGTGTGTAATAGACATGCAAAGCAAGCATTAGCGGTTAGCTGTATAATATCTTTGAATATCATTTTAGACTGATTCATTTATATGCTTGGTCATCTTGTAATCATTTGGAATTCAACAGTTTTTACTAATAGGGTCCGTATCTTTACACTTCTAGACGTAGTATCAAATTTTAGTTGCCAGATCCGGTTTCATACACACTCGCTAAGTAAATTTCAAAGGAAACTGTTTTCCCCATTTTTCATATTGTTAAATACTCCTATGCAATATTGTAGGCCCCTGGTATAAAATTGACAGATCAATTAGACACTCTGTAAAGATCGATTATGCCTTTTTATATAATATTGTAGGCCATAGGCCTAATGTGTGTGAAGTACTGACTTTGTTAATATCGAATGGGTGAAATTGCGCACAAACTTCAAACTCTTGGCCTAACATACAATGCAGAGGAAATGATATCACGTTTTAGTTACCAAAAAAGATTTTCCACGGACGAACAGAGTAGGCCCTCTAATAGTATGGCCCAAAACGAACGAGTTTCTGGTCTCGAAAATCCAGACACTTCGTTAAGGCCTATACAGTACAAAATACTGTACAGTATATAATTCATTGAAAAAGCTTTAAAATGAAGTTTATGTATATAGGCAATAATAATATTTTGCAAATCTTGGGTTTTTAAAAGCAATCTTTCAGACCCAATCTTGGGAATTTTGATTTTCCCTAGTGTTCACGCTGCATTTAGAGACAGAATTATACCCCGACGACATCAAACTAGTGTAGGCCTAGGCTTAAGTACAGTAGGACGTACTACTAGGCCTAGGCTTTTGTTGTAAAAGTTGAAGTGCATGTACTAGGATGCGCCATAGGCCTATATTTAAAAAAATACATTTTGTTAATTATTATTGGTTGGCATGGGACCTAGACAGGCAGGCCAGCATTGCCGTCGAAAATCCTGGGATTCGACGATAACGTCAGTGCACATGTTTACAAACGCCATTGATTGGAACATGGACCTTATTAATAGGTCCATGATTGGAATGTAGACGTGCTGAATTTCGTTTGTTTTATGAACAATAGTATTTATCGAACATTTATCTATATAAAAACTAGATTAATATTGTAGAAATTGTATTTCTAAAGATTCATATATAATTCATATTTCATTTGGTAGACAATAAATATTCAGTAAGATACTAAAAACGATTATTAATTCTGAAATGTGCATCAAATCTCAGC